CCTCAGCAACACCCTCACCCCCACCCACCCTGGGGCTTCTCAGAAATGCAGAGTGTTTGCTCTGTCACCTCTCTGGTCTCCAGGCCTTGGATGAATTGGTGGCTTTAACTGGGAAAAGTCTGTAAGGTGGAGGAAGGGAAACTTTGGAGTGTCCCGAAGAAAAAACAGAGGACAAAAGGCCAACTTGCCTTCAGCTAGCATTCGCAAGGGACTTGGAGAGTTAGGCCAGAGACCAAGATTGTACAGATTTGCTTTTCCATACATGTTTGTGTTTTCTTCTTGTTTCCCAGAAGGACCCGTAACCAAAGGGGGGCTGCTTATCTCGGGGTGCCAAAAGGGAGGGGAGGTAAGTGTGGGAAATATTCCTTTCAGCAGCTGGAGCTGGGAGAAAAGGGGTTTCAGGCAAGAGCAGAGGTGCAGAGTGGATAGTTAAGCCACACAGAACCTAGAAATCAGGCCACAGAAGAGATGGCCTGAGCCAAAAGAAAGCTCCTGGTCCAATGTGATAACAATGGCAGGCACTTATGCTGCACCTACAGTGTGCTAGGCACCATGCCAGGTGCATTGTTGAAGTATCTCCCTTAATCCTTTCAACAATCTTAAGAATCACCCTTGGAATCTTCCAGGTACCGTCCTGGAAAGAAAGGGCAGAAGGAAACTTGCCACGATCAGGTAGGATTTGAAACCCACACTCAAAACTGACCCAGTGTCAGCCTTCCATGTATCTCTGGGCAAGTCTGGGTGTTCGCTTGGCTCAAGGTTCTGGCATCTTCTTTTTCTTTCTTTTCTTGGTTTTTCGAGACAGAGTTTCTCTGTGTAGCCTTGGAGCCTGTCCTGTAACTCACTCTGTAGACCAGGCTGGCCTCAAACTCCCAGAGATCCACCTGCCTCTGCTTCCTGAGTCCTGGGATTAAAGGTGTGTGCCACCACCGCCCAGGTGGCACCTCCTTTTCTAATCTGTTCTCTTAGATGCTATGCCGGGTACAGCCTGACACACCAGTGTCCCTCCTCAAGCAGACACTGGGCCTCGGAGAATGAATGTGGCAGTTCCTTTTCCCACTCCCAGCATATAAAACGAACCGAAAGTTATTTACAAAAACATCATGCCAAACAAGGCACCACCCCTCCCTTCATTCACTCACTGATGCTGCGCGTAAGGAACAGTCAGGGGTCACCAAATGGCGGCCAGATGGTAACTGGCTGCTGTCCCTAGCTCCAGGAGCCTGGGGCAAAAGGCCCAAGCGGCCCACCTGCTATCATCTATAGCCTGTGAACCAGCCACTTCACGGAAGGCCAGGCTGTTCCCTGCTCTTGCATCCCCTCCTGCGACGGCTGTCCCAGCTAGTCTGGTCGGTTCCCAATCTTCCAAGGACTCCAGTGGGCTGAGCGGGTGGGAGGGGGAGGACTCGGGACCTAGAGCCTCTGACGGAAGGAGCAGGAAGGGGTGCTCGCCCTGGTGGGCACATTGATTCCCGAGTTAACAGCTCGGAGAGAGCCTTGCTATAAATTCTTGCCTTCTTGCTAGAACCGCTGAGGCAAAGGGAAGGCTCTACAGCGGTATTGCGAAACAAAGAAGGCAGAGGGGGCTTTGGAGAACTCTGTTTCCCCACTTGTAGTCAGCACCACTCCCCTCCGCCCCCAGATCCCAGAGGCAGCAGGCTCCCTGGTTATCTCTGGTCCTGGAGGGCAAGGCCTTTGTCTCCCCCTCTGCCAACCCACCGGCCAGGCGAGGGGCCTCCAAACCCTTCATGACCCTCCCAGCTCTTTGTTATCTCAGAGGGAAGATTACATTTCCTGGTAAAAAGACAACTGCCAGGAGCCCTCGCCCTCCATGCAGGCCTGGGCCCCACTGCGGTTGCCCCACCCTGTGGCCTGGGGCATCCCAGAGCTGTCCTGGGTGTGCGGCTCCGTGAGGGTCTGCGGCTCTGCAAGAGCCGGACGGGAGTGTCATGGGCTGCAGCGGGAAAGCAGGCGCCCTGGCTGGATCTGGGGACACCACTGCTTCCTCTGCGTTTGTCACCTTCTCCAGTCCAGCCTCTCCAGCTGTTTCCGGGACAGCAGGTGGACAGACGGACAGCTAGCAAGCTGATTACTCTTTTTTATTTCCATACCCCTAAATCTGTAGAAGAACTGCCTTATGGTGTCAAACTACCAGCCTCAACAGCAAATACACATGTGGATCTTTTTTTTCTGTTTACGACAAGGGCATATTTTCAACTTCTAGCTTCTACATGCTCTTCAGACGTTTCAAAAGAAATCAAAACTTAAAGGACTGGATTATAAAATTATAAAATTATATTTATTTAATAAATTTAATTATAGGAAACAGAGAGAGAGAGAGAGAGAGAGAGAGAGAGAGAGAGAGAGAGAGAGAGAGAGAGAGAGAACGAGAGCCTGAACTCCCCCTAGGCAAGCATGTCACTGAGCCAAATCCCCAGCCCTCAGGTTATTAAAACCCTCTTGATTTAGAAGGGCCTGGTGGCGCAGCCCTGAATTCCTGCTTTGGAGAGTTCAGTGTGGAAGTCATAGTAAGATCTTGTCTCTAAATAAATAAAGATCTTTGTCAGAAGAACTACTGAGATGAAGAGCATTACACTGTCCTCAGGAAGAACGGGGAAGTGTGGTCAGCACCCAGCCATCAGGTCTGCATTTTCCATGACTCACCTTCCCTGTCATTACCTCAAGTGGTAGGTATCTTTCTCTGGCAACGCCGGTTTCTTACATGCAGCCAGACCCCAAACAACAGATGTATGTATCTCAAGAGAATCTCTTGAGATAGGTGAGAGGCGCTGATGGGATCATTGCCCTAGAACAGTTTAGAAGCTTGCTGGAGAGAAGCAACAAAGTAAAAAGACAACTAGCAAACCATGTTAAATATCAAATCAGTAGATACAGCAGGAGGCTGCAGCATCTCCAGGTACCTGGGGAAGGCAGGGAATGCTGTTTGGCAGCTTCTATGAGAGGATAGATGGGCCCTGACGAGGATCTGAGGGCTTGAAGAGTACAGGGATATGCTTATAGGGATAATAACCCTTAAAAGTTGGCTGTCTGCTCTTTACTTAGCTTTTGATTATTCATTTGTTCAGAAAGTATTTGCCGAATATTTACTTTTTAAGCACTCAATAAATGTATTCGTATTCTCTCTGCATCTCCCTCTTCCCCATTTGAACCCAGGTCTTTGCATAACCTAAGCACAGGGCCTACCACTGAGCTAAACATCCAGCTTTGTTAGGCTTGCCAATGGCTTATAACTCAGCACTCAAGAGGGGAAGGTTGGAAGAATGCCTTGAGTTTGAGTTACAGGTTACTCCTGGCTACAGCATAAGACTACCTCTCAAAAAACAAAACCTAACAAGCAAAAAAACCCAACAAACCCTGAAAGTCAATAAATCAATAAACTCTAGATCCTTCTTCTCCTCCACCCATCACTGGAGATAAACATTTGTGATAGCATCATGTAGCTTACTATTTTGTCAACTGGTGGCCACATAGAAAACTGTTCAATGCCAGATAGTTTGGGTATTCAAGCTGTCACTACTTGGTCTGTTGATGGGTTCTTCTCACAGTGGCGTTTTACTTGTGTAACCATTTTGGTGAACTAACACTCATTATTCAGCCTGAGTCTCAGGGGGGGGGGAGTCCCATAGGGACACCTGTGATTTGATTTTATCAGACACGTGATACATCCAAAGTCTTTGAGTGGTGGAAAAAGTGGAAGAATTCTTCACACCTCGAGTGGCAGACTTCCCACCCATCCAGCATTGCCCCCCCACTAGACAGCACATCACAGTCACCATGAACCCTTAGGAACATTGGCAGAGCCCCCGCCCCATTGCTATGTAACAAGTCTACAGGTTTCTGCCACCCACTCAGGTTTAGAGCGGCTGGAATCAAAGCTCTGTCTCCCAATGAAGCTGCATCCCCAGCCCATCTTTCCCTTTGGTTTGAGACAGGGTCTCCACCACAGGCTGTCTTCTCACTCCCTCTGCAGTCAATGACCACCCTGAGCCTCTCTGCTCCCCGGAACGCAGGTCTGCGGCTTCACTTTTGGCGAATTCCGTGCTGGAAACTGAGTTCCTGCCTGCTAGGCAAAGACCCTACCTTAGCGTCTTACAATCCTTAGCGTGCTTCATTAGGATGTCATGATTCCTCATGTCCAAGCAGAACCAAGTATTGTCTTTGTCAACATTCCCAACAGGTTTCATGCCCACTGGACTCATACACATTGAATTAAAGAACTACAGATTAACCACTCTGTGGATGGATCTGGTAGGAAGGGCATTTCAGCCATTTTCATTGAGTGCCCTAGTAGCATACTGTGGGGTCTCTGGGTTGGCTCTGGTTAGTTCCTAAGCAGGAGGCACGGGGGGGTGGGGGGGGGCGGAGGCGTACTCTTCTCCTGCACTTCTTGCTTGCTTCCTGAACATTCTTTGAAAGCTGGTGATTTCTGAGTCTACCAAGAACCACACTGTAGAATTTGCAGGGTCCATTCCAGAGTGAACCACAAAACCTAAATTATGGGGCTGGGGAAAGTTTAGATCCAAGGAAAGGGAGGGGGGAGATCGACTCATCCATCAATAAAATCAGCTCATATATATTGTGAAACCATGTGAGGGTCCTATTTATTTCTCCATTTTATGTGTATTGCTATTTCTTTTTTTTTTTTTTTTACAGATGGAAAACTGAGATTTAGAGCACCAAAATCATACCCCAAGGTACACAAATAACCAAAGATTGAGTTGCCAAGTACAGTCTCAAGATTATAGCCCCCTCCCACTCCCCTCCGCCTCGCTCCCATTTCCAAATTTCTGATCTATTCATGGATTGAAATTCGGGAACCCTCCAGGCGATGCTCAAGCCAGACCAGACTGTAAAGTGGTTCTACTCCACTCCAGGCTTGTCCCGGGCTGCGGCTTGGGGACTACAAGGCCCAGCAGGCATCTGCAGGGGGAGGAGGAGGAGGTGGGACTAGCGCCGGGTGGGAGTGAGAGAGCGAGCCCTCGCGCCTCGCCGGCGCACAGCGCTAGGAGCGCTCCTGCGGGTACCGTTGTGGGGCCCTCGGTAGCGGGTGGCGCCGAACGGGAGCCAGGGCGCCGGTGCAGTCGCTGCGTGTCGAGGACCTGGACTGCACAGGGAGCTGGGCCGCAACGTCCGGACTGGTCGGACACTGTGCTTAGCGCATTGCGGCGACCTCGCCTTTCCCGGCCGCAAGCGCGCGCCGCAGCTGGAAAAGCAGCGGAGCCCGAGGACTTTTCTCCGCTCCCAGGGGCGCACCACACCAGTGCTGCAGTCAGTGCACACCGTGGCCCCCGGAGGGGCGATGGAACCCGGGCTGCCAGAAGCGTGAGGAGCCGCCGCCGCGTTCTGGAGAGCGGGGGGCGCACGATCTGGGGACCCCCGGCGGCGGACCCGAGCCCTCCCCCCCGCCCCGCCTCCGGGGCACCAGCTTCGGCTCCATTGTTCCCGCCCGGGCTGGAGGCGCCGGGCTCCGAGTGTCGCCGGGAGTCGTGCCTCGGCCGCGGAGCTCTCGCGACCCCGCCAGAAGAACCTGAACGGAACCCGCAGACGACCGGCCCGAGCGCAAGCCATAGACACCGGCCGCGCCACGGCGAGCTCTCCAGAGGCGGGACCGCCGCGCCAAGTGAGGTAAGAGTCGCCGGCGTCCGCAGAGCTGGCTGGCTGGGCGTCCCGAGCGGCCCCCGCGCTTCGCCTGCCGCAGCCTGCGCCTCCCTCCTCCGTTCCCCCCCACCCCACCCCAGCTCCACTCCCTTCCCGGCGCCCCTGTCCCTCCTCCTTCGGCCAGCGTCGCCGCCCGCGCCCCCTCCCCGCGCGGGGCCCGCCGCCGCTGCCCGCTGCCCAACTTTTCCGCCAACTCGCGCTCCCGAGCTGGCGAGGCAGCTGCAGCGCTCCGAGGCCAGACCCCAACCCTTCCGGGCGAGGAGAAGGCGGCGGAGGCCGTGGGTTCTCGCGGGGAGGAGGGCGGGAGTGGGCTGTGAGGTGTGTGTGTGTGTGTGTGTGTGTGTGTGTGTGTGTGTGTGTGTGTGTGTGTACACTCCATCTCTTTTGGTCCCGTGTGTGTGTGTGTGTGTGTGTACACACTCCATCTCTTTTGGTCCTTCCTGTGTGTGTGTGTTCACTCCATCTCTTTTGGTCCTCTTGTGAAGACACCCCGATTCATCCAGTGGCTCTGGGCACAACACCCCACATCTGGGACCTTTTCAAGTGCTTTTCCACGTCCCGGAAAGTCTGGGGTCCAGGTTGGGGGCTTGAGGAGGAAAGGAAGTGGCGGGGAAGGCTAGCTTGTCTTGGAATAGGTTGGAAGGAGGTGTCGTCACCAAATGGCTGAATCGGCTTTAGTGGAGAGCGAGAAAAGATTCCCCCTTTCCGAGGAGTGCTGGTGGTGATGTTCTAGTTAAGTCTTAGACCTAGAGGACTTCTGAAGGGGCCCGGGGAAGGGGAGGGGACTGCGGGGTCTGGATCGTTCTGGGAAGTGGGGGAAGGGATGAGGACTGGTCCGGTGCGGAGCCGGCCGCTGCCCGCCCGCTTGTTGCTTCTCTGGCCCAGACCCTCTCTCCGCGCTTCCCGCGCCTCCTCTAGTGGTGTCGCCGGCGGGATGAGACAGGCGAGTACCCATATTTTTGGAGGAATTTATCGACTCTTTTTTTTAAAATAGTGGGGTTTGCATTTACCCCCAGTGAAGCAGCTGTACACCTTGGGAGTGCAGGGAGAGTTCTCTCTTTTTTTGGGCCTAGAAGCTATTCACTCATTTGCAAAGCGTTTCGGCGGCGTTTTTCTCCCCTACCCAACCCCCCATTTCCCAGATGTAGCTGCCGCATCTGGTTCCGTTTCACCCTACACGGGTACACCGCAGCCACATTATTAAACATCTCTCTTCCTCCCTTCCCCCTCCTAAATTAAAGCTGAGATTCTTTCTCTGGTTCTTACCCCCAGCACCACCTCTAAAAATTTCTTGAGACGTGGAGAAGAAAGAGCTCTGGGTCGGAAAAGAAAAGAAAGTTGTGGATCGCAAGTGATTTTGGATTCCTCCACACTAGTACCTCCTGCTGGTGGCGAGCCATGGGTGGCCGGGGTTGTGCCAAGGGATCATCTTGAGAGATGAGGCCATAGTTCCCTGGACCCACTTGGGAGCGGCTTGCTTATTAGAGGTGGCCCTTGTCGACTGTTCTGGGCCAAAATAGGCCTTGACGTGTACTGGAACCAAAGCCTCGCCTCACCCTTTAATTATAGTTGAAGCGTCTGTCCCGTGTGGAGCCCACCTATCGCCACGCGTCCGGGTTCCTGGCGGGGTTCCATACTCGATCATACTCGACGCAGGGTGCAAGCAGGGTGCAGCGGTCGCCGCTGTGGCAGCCAGAGGCGCCTTACGTTTTCAGTGAGCTCCTTGGGTTGCAGCCCTTGGAAACTTAAAATGGGGTGTTTGACCGTTTAAACAATGACTTCGGGCTAGGGATGGAATGTCCATTTTTTTTTTTGTAATACTCTTTCGGGGGCGGGGACAGCAAAGCTTCCAAAGGGTGCAAAGTTGGCGTCAGGGTGGGGAGAATTGGTGCCTCTCCCCTCTCCAGTCTTTTAAATTGAAAACACTTCTCTGGTTTCCTCCTTGGGGCGGTAGTTTTGGAGGCTGTAATGAAATCGCACTTTCTCTAGACATGGTAATTAAGGTGACTGTTTCCTTCGGAGATGTACCCTGGTCTTTGTACCTCCGGACCAGTGCTTTTTTTGGAATAGTATCTAAATTGTAGAACCATTGGCCTGAGATGGTTGAGCAGAAAGTGGCTGTTTTCCTCCTTCCTTGGCCAGGCTCCGGGTTTCTCTGAGGCTTGTTTTAAAGCTAAGTAGCAGGGCCCCTGGGAGCGGCGGGCCATGGTCTAGCCAATTACCCCCACGCTGGGGTGGTGTCCCTTCCTTTCAGTGACCTAAGGCCGGCAAGCTCAACTAATACCAGCCAACTGTACTGTTGTCTCGCCTCCTTCCCTAATGGCTTGTTTACATATTTCCCCAGTTGGAACACACTCCTGAGACCCTGCTAACCCCTTACTACTGAGTGTTTGGGGACTGAGACGCTTTCTGGGACTTGGCTCCAGCAGGGACATTTATATATTTCATCAGTGACAAGCTACTTGAAATATGTTGCATTTACTCTTAGTCATAGCTGAGTGTCAGCTTTTCAGTGATGGGCCATGGTCTGAGAACCATGTGTACTTCCAATGCCAGTTTCAGAGGTATTTTCACAATGGGAGTTTGGGCAAACATGGGCATCACTTCCCTTGGTTCCCAGGTATAGTCTTAGAGTATTGTTTTTCTTGGCTGCAGGCCATGAAACACACTGGAAGGTACCCTTTGAATAGCAAGTGAAGCAAGGGGACAGAAGGAACAGAGGGGCATCACAAATGTCATCACTGTCTCCTTACAAAAGAAGATTAAATACATATAGGCATCCTAAACCGGAGCTAGCTTTACTCAGGGTGGACTCCAGATAAGAAAATTGAATGGAGCATTGGGTAGGCAGACTTCAACCTTGGAGACCAAAGGCAATCTGTAGACTTTGCTGCTTTTTGTTTTTTGTTGTTTTTGTTTTTTCTTATTTGTGTTATTGACCTGATGCAAGACTCTTAAAAGATTAGTTTGTGTGAAACCTGGGGTTTAGCAGTTAGTGTCTCCAAAGGCCCTTTCCTTTCATACATTTTTTTAATTCTTTTTTTTTTTTTTTTTGGTTTTTCGAGATAGGGTTTCTCTGTGGCTTTGGAGGCTGTCCTGGAACTCACTTGGTAGTCCAGGCTGGTCTCGAACTCACAGAGATCTGCCTGCCTCTGCCTCCCGAGTGCTGGGATTAAAGGCGTGCGCCACCAACACCCGGCCATTTTTTTAATTCTTAAAATTACATTTATCTACTCATTTATTTGTGTGCACATGGGTGCCACAGTGCTCCAGTGAGATCAGAGAATAGGTTGCCAGAAGTGGTTTCCAGGCTGGAGAGATGGGTCAGCAATTAAGAACACTTGCTGTAGCTGGGCAGTGGTGGCACACACCTTTAATCCCAGCACTCGGGAAGCAGAGGCAGGTAGATCTCCCTGAGTTTGATTCCAGACTGGTCTATAGAAGGACAGCCAAGGCTATACAGAGAAACCCTGTCTCTAAAAACAAAACCAAAAAAAAAAAAAAACCCAAAAAAACAAAACAAAACAAAAAAACACCCAAAACGAAAACACTGACTTTCATTCCAGAAGAATTGGGTTCAGTTCCCAGCGTGTTTATCAAACAGTTCACAGGAAATCTGTGTCTCCATAGCTACCTGCACTAGCATGCACATATACACATACATATATGTATAATTGAAAATAAAATCTTAAAAAAAATCTTCTCCCATGTGAGTTCACGCCCCCCCACCTGCTGATCTCTCTTGCTGGCACCAATGGCCCTTTCCTTGCCTCCATTTTGATGAATCTCTTTCATCCGAGTGGCTGTTGAAGAGCTTCCGAGGCAAATGCAGTATCACTTGTCATCCCTGCACTCTGGAGGGATGTATAACGGTCAGGGTTTCAAGGCCGGTCATCCTACATGCTGAGTTTGAAGCCAGTGTGGGCCTCCTGAGGACCCCTCTGCTTCCTCCCTGAGCCCCAGGAGGGAAGGGAGTGAGAATTGACTCCCGTGTCTTCCTATGAAAAGGCCTCACTTTCATCACTTAAGAGGAGTTTAATTTCTTCTCGGGAAATTTGTCTTGGGTTTCTCTTTCCCAGGGTTCTGGAAGGGGCCTAACTAAATGCACCCAGGAGTCCAGATGTGGGTCTTTAGCGAAGGTGCCGGTGTTTCCAGAGGGATCAAACACCTCATACGGGATGGGATATTTGTTTTCCCCCTCAAGTCTGAGTTGCTCTTAAATAGGATTTCTGTACTTACTACCACCCCTTCAGAAAGACACTTTATTTGTGGGCACATGCAGCACCCCAACCCTGGAAATAAATAGAGTTCACCTGGATAAGGGATTCCAAGAATATAGCAACACTCCTCTCCTGTATCTGTCTTCAACAGCTAAGCCTCTACATTGTTTCACTTTGCTGTGTTTTTGTTACTGAGTTTGTTTTTTGTTGTTACATTTATTTACCTGTACGAGTGTTTTGTCTACACTGTATGTATGGTGCCACCTGCATTTCTGATCACTAGGAGTTCAGAAGAGGGTGTCTAGTTTCCCTGAAACTGGAGCCACTTTGTGGTGCTGGGAACTGGACCTAGATCTTCAAGAGCAACAAGTGCAGGGAATTCTTAAGCTATCTCTCTAGCCTGTTTGTTTTTTGAGACGGGTTCTCATATAGGCCCAGGCTGGTCTCAAGCTTGAAATACTCCTGTCTCAGCCCCTTGAGTGTGAGTGAGATGATACACACACACACACACACACACACACACACACACACACACACACACACACACACACACACACACACACACACACACCCCTAACCGCCAGACTGCTATTACTGGTTTTTCAGTACAAAATGTTTTTAGATGCTCTTCATATGTATGAAGGCACACGCAGTGCACAGACACACAGGAGTTTACTTTGTTTCATCAGGGAATTATTGAACCCAGGGTCTTGCACTTGCTGGGCAAGCAGTTTTACTGTGAAGCTA